TCCCTATTATATATATATATATATAGAGAGTATGATATACCCCAAAACCCTGTTAGAATAGGTTTTTGGGTTTTGAGGTCTAGGGTTTTGGGTTCAGGGCTTGGGGGTTTAGAGTGGTAGGGTTTTTTTGGTTGAGGATTTGGGGTTTAGGGCTTAGGGATCTCAGGGTGAAGCAAGCAAACCTTCGATTTTCGATCGAGGTTTTAGAGCAAAGAGGTCTAAGTAGTCAGTGACACGATTCCTAGGTGTTCCTTATGACAGCTATACTGATGGATACCCTCCGATCTCTATTTGCGTTAAGGATGCTATCTCGAAACTTTCTTAATCTGACATGCCCACTGTTTCTGGTAGAGCTTTTTTACCAGGGCTAAAACATTAAACACCACAGAAAAGCAGGCCAAGGTCAGTTAAGGTGTAAGAGCTCTCCAACATTTTTGTTCTGTGTGCGTAAGTTGAAAGACCCTTGGCTGAGGGACAGGCTCATGGGGCTCAGGCATACGGTTAAGCTAAGGAAGTCTGGCACAGCCCCGGTGATAAGCGAGCACCAATACTACTGATTCCGCTGCAGAGTAGTGCTTCCACGCAGCATCGTGATAACCGGACGCCACTGCTGGTGCGGTTGCAGAGTTGTGCTGCCGATCACCATACCGCCGCCAAGGATATGAATCATCAATAACAGCTGTGATACGGCTGATGGACAAAATCCTGCATGACATTATATACCTAAACTATGGCATTTATGGTACCATACTATATTTGGGTCATGCAGGATTTTGTCCATCAACAGTAAGTTAGGTGCTTCAATCGACAATGCCACACACTGGGTAGCTTTCTGAGGTTTTTTCTGGCAGACATCCTGCTGTGGATTTACGGCAGCAGAGCTGAATTGCTTTGGTGAGCATAGAAACACTTCATTTAGTGCCCTGCAGTTCGTTTCAACTTGTCTAAAATCCTGGTGTGTTCAGAGTCTTCGGTGCGGACTCTTGATATTTCTTATCTTTGTGCGTGATGTGTTTTTGTGTTGGCATGCTTCTTACGCATCTGCACGCGATTTGTGCGAGACTGTGATGAGCAGCAGAGATCCAACACCCTTTACCTGAACCAAGTTGGAGAAGACTTACCTGCATCCCTTATCGCTCTGAGTCCCCCATGGGCGTGCAATTTCTGCACGTTCTTCTGTGCACACGTATTGTAGAGCATGCTCCAGAGTCAAGAAGGCTTGTGAGTTTGTGTGCCAGCACGTGTTGAGTACATACTCAGCCGTGCAGTTGTCCATGCTGCATGCAGAATTTGATTGTGCCATGTCGGAAACAGGATGCGTCATGCATGCTCTGCTGTGGAACCTAGAAACAGTTCATTTAGTGCCCTGCAGTTGGACGTTTCAACTTGTCTAACATCCTGGTGTGTTCAGAGTCTTCGGGGCAGACTGCTTGGCCTTGCATGCTTGTGTGTGCTGTGTGTTTGTTCTGGCATGCTTTTCATGCATCTGCCCGGATTTGTGCCAGACGGTGATGAGCAGCAGAGATCCAACACCCTTTACCTGAACGAAGTTGGAGAAGATTTATCTGCATCCCTCATCGCTCTGAGTCCTCCATCGGCGCAAATTACAGCACGCTCGTCAGTGCAAACGTATTGTAGAGCATGTCCCAGAGTCAAGAAGGCTTGTGAGTTTGTGTGCCAGCACCTGTTGAGTACATACTCAGCCGTGCAGTTGTCCATGCTGCATGTGGAATTTATAGTGCCACGTCGGAAACATGATGCGTCATGCATGCTCTGCTGTGGAGCCTAGAAACAGTTCGTTTACAACTTGTCTAAAATCCTGGTGTGTTCAGAGTCTTCGGGGCAGACTGCTTGGCCTTGCTTGCATGTGTGTGATGTTTGTTTCTTTGGCATGCTTCTTACGCATCTGCCCGGATTTGTGCGAGACTGTGATGAGCAGCAGAGATCCAACACCCTTTACCTGAGCGAAGTTGGAGAAGACTTATCTGCATCCCTCATCGCTCTGAGTCCTCCATCGGCGTTCATTTTCTGCACGTTCTTCTGTGCACATGTATTATTGTATAGCATGTTCCAGAGTCAAGAAGGCTTGTGAGTTTGTGTGCAAGCACGTGTTGTTTAACATGATAACATGGCGCATCATGCACGGTCTGCGGTGGAGCCTAAATTCAGTTCATACGGTGCCTTGCGCTTGGACGTTTCACCGTGTCTCAATTCATCTTGGGCGTCTTCGGTGCAGACTCTTGTTCTTTCTTATCTTTGTGCGTGATGTGTTTTTGCTTTGTCATGCTTCTCACGCATCTGCCCACGATTTGTGCAAGACTGTGATGAGCAGCAGAGATCCAACACCCTTTACCTGAACGAAGTTGGAGAAGACTTATCTGCATCCCTCATCGCTCTGAGTCCTCCATCCGAGCGAAACTGCGTGCGCAGTCTGTTGTAGATCACGGGCGCAGGATTTGGGCACCCGGAGTGTGGAGTGTCGGATGTGAGGTATCCTGGCCCTAAAGCTTATAAACCCTAATATCCACAGCTTTCTCAGAGACGGTCTACGGCATGTCGGACCGTCTTGGCCAACGGCATAGAGTTGTCCACGGGGCTTCGGGCTTCCTGCGTCTGGTGTGGTTTGGACGATTTGGGTTAGACTGCTGGGTGTGTGGATGAGTCTCTGGCATTGGGTTCACGTGAAATCCCGGATAGATCTCAGCCTTACACTGTCTCAGTCTCAGGTATCATTAAAGCCGTCAATGCCGAGTCCATGCCCTGCGACTGGGGCATCGCACTATTTTGGTGTGCCTTAGCGGCACCCCAGCAAGCTCGAAGGAGAGTTTCCGTGTCTGTCGATCATGGGTTTGGGTAGCAATACGTAACGAGTGGAAATTGCGGCAGTGCTGATCTCGCGACCGTCGTGGTCACAGTATGGTCAGCAGCAGCCCTTGCCCAGCAGCGGAGGTGTAAGTAGCAGCAGCATGATCCTTATTATGAAAATTGTGTTGTTATGATGTGGTGGTACTAGTATCAGTATTGTGATAGTGATGATAATGCTGGTTATGTGTTGATCATTGGCTTTATGATCATTATAGTAGCAAATAGCAGCAGTAGCGGAAGTGGGAGTGGGAGTAGCAATAGCAGTAGTAGGACTAGGACTAGGACTAGGACTAGGACTAGGACTAGGACTAGGACTAGGACTAGGACTAGGACTAGGACTTGGACTTGGACTTGGACTTGGACTTGGACTTGGGCTAGGACTTGGCGCAGGAGTAGGGTGGTAGTGGTGGTGGTAGTTGTAGCGGTGGTTGTAGTGGTAGTGGTAGTGGTAGTAGTAGTCGTCGTCGTCGTCGTCGTAGTCGTGGCAGAAGTACTGGCAGTAGTAGTAGCAGTAGCGGTAGGAGTAGCGGAAGCGATAGCGGCAGCTGTAGCAGTAGCTTTTAAAGCTAAATTAGCAGTAGCAGTAGCAGAATAGACGGAAGGTACTTGC